GGTGGTATCATCGACACTTGAATTTTGCTTTGCCGCCTCGGTAATGATATTCAGTTCCGTCTGCCACATGTCCTGCCGCAATTCCAGGCGTGCGGTCGGCACTTTGCTGTACTCAAAGATATTTCCTTTAGGTCCTTCCGTCAATAAGGCTTCGCCCAGCCACGCCGCCTTTGTGCCATATGGAAAGGACGATATCATCACGGAGTTAAGCGCAATCTCACAAATATCAATGCCGGAAAGCTGATACAATCGACTCGCCGTACCATATTCCTCAATAAGTGGTTCTTTAGAAAGATGAAATAGCAACGGTCGATCAGTGGCAAGTGACACGTTCAGACCACGGCAAAAAAAAATATGAAATGGGTTTTGCATGTATGGAAGACCCAGACCGTTGTTGCTTAAAGGCGACATCACCATGCCGATACGCTGGATACCGTAGAGATACTGCAGCACAGGCTGGTGATCAAGAATAACACCGTTTGCCACACTATCACACAGAAGGTAGGAGTAAACAAGAACATCCATCTGACTACTACGCCCTCCGGCAATGGCGCGTAACTGCAGTGTGCCAAGTCCTTTGCGACGACGAAATGCGTTCAGGGAACAGAGATTCACCCAGATGTGGTACGCAAAGTAGAGATCACAGACATTCTCTGACCAGGAAACCTCCGCTGGCCGCCTCGCTTTCCTCTGAAACTCACTTTCACGCTCTTCCTCATCCGACACAATCACAAACCCACCAATACGGGACAAGAAAGATGCCACCTGCGTGTTTTTTGGATCCTCTGGTGCCAAAGTCGCCATGAAGAGCGGCAGAAAAAGATTCTCAAGATGCTGCTGGTAATGTTCGAGTGGTTCACGCGTCGTCTCCTTCCGCATCTGTCGCCGAGGCAATGCAATGAGCCATTGATTGTTTTGCTGCTCGTCCAGCCCGTTTTCGTGGATCCAGTTCGCCATCTTTTCCCAGTCATCCGGGGAAAGACCGCAGATTTCAATGATGCTCTCGGTAGCCTGAATGCTTCGCTGCCGTGAGCTATTAATTGCCATAATGGGTCGCACGGCTTCCGCAAAGTATCGTCCCTTGTTCAACGTATCTGGCGTGAGGAAAAGACGCAGAAGTTCTGCAGTATTGCGGCCAGCGCGGTTCAACTCCGGGTCAAGCACATCGTAGCGGTACAAACGCTTTTCGCTTGGTGGCGAGAGGCCAAGTCCATCGACACTCATCTGGGAGGGATCTGTGAGGTCCAGTTGTTCACATAAGGACTCTAGCGTCTGAGGCTCTTTGGTATCACCAGCAAGATACACCACTTCACCCCCCTCCAACTCCAGCACCTCCTGAATGTATTCGACTAACCATTGCGGATTCATGATTGAAGAGAGATAGACACCATTGTCAACCTTCGTGCTGTTGGCGAAAACGCCACCACCGCGGCGATAACGATCCAAATTCTCAATCTCATTGTTGCAAAGCTTGTAGAGATTATATTTTTCTTCCAGCACTTGCAGACGTTGGGAACACGCACGGCGGCAAACAGGGTGCTGCAGTGTGATATACAGCGCCGTGACATCGTCGTAAAATTGTTCCCACGGCACAATTTGTGTGCATTGACCGCTGAATTGAATGTAGCCTGATTCAAAGGAAAGTGCTACCGGTGGCACAAGTCGCTCCGTCCCCTCTTGTTGCCCCTTGTCAACTGCCTTGTACTTTTCTCTCATCTTGACAGCGTTTAGAAGGTACTGGCTGGCCTCCTGCATCTCAATGCCACCAGTGTCGCTATCAAGTTGAACGACATAAGTATTTTGCTTCGATCCTCCATGCCGCACCTGATTGATAAAAGATCCTCTGTTTCGCAATGAGCGCCGTCGGTGAACACCGGAGATAATTGTTCCCGCTCCCCCACCGAGCGGAGACACCATCTGCAGCTGCCCAGTCCCCCCATAGTCACGCTGCGTACTAGAAAGCTGACGGATGCCTCCCCGCATACCCTTGCTATTGGCTTCGTACCGCAAAACTTGTGCCACGACGGTGTTGCCGCCGTCCAAAACTGGTGTGTGCAGGGAATCCCGACGGGGCTGTTCATCCTCTAGCACTGACGCATCAAATTCGCTTTCCGCACTCACCTGCCGCCGCTCCATCTGACACTCCGTTTTATTTTTCCCTCGTGCTGCTTCCAGAGAGCGTGACAAAAAGAGAAAAAGAAGGAGTAACAGAAAATACAAACACACACACACACAAAAAAAAAAAAATAAATGAAAATTCCCACGGAAATAGAAAAGCAGCAGAAAAATATTTTTGGAATGAGCGGTATCAAGAGCGATGGAAAAAAAACAAAACAAAAACAAAAACAAAAACAACTTTCATGCGGCCAATGTATTAGATATCGGTGACACCCACATCAGAAATTTTGATGTCCATGTACCGGAGAGGCTTTTTTGCATGTGGCGGTACGGACTTTGCGCCACCACAGGAGTAATCAATATCTATCGGACACTCCCATACAGAACGCCCAGTGAGAAGAACTTCACGATCCACGTAATCGACAACGTTGCTATAATTATGCCGCACAATTTCAGCCAAGTGCTTCCTGGTGTATTCGCTGTATTCGTATTTCCACTCAGGGACGTGCGGCCATTTCATGAGCGTCTCCTCTCGCGCCTTTTCTCGTCGTAGAGCTTCAAGAAATACGGGGTCAACCTTGGCATAAGGCTGGGGCTCACGCTTGTGTTCCACGATACGAATCACTTCAGCCCCGTCAATGGTGGTGACACCGAGTGACTGCGCATACTCAAGACCGTTTCTTCGGTCATACGTGATGTACGCCTCCCATGGACCCTCAATTTCGTCCGGGTGCGTCGGCCGAGGCACCTCCTCAACAGTCGCATAGCGTGGCACTTGCATTGTTATGTTCGGAAAGTAGCCAAGCTGGATGACTGTTCGTGCAAGATACGAGCGACGCTCTGCCTTAATACGCTCCAGTGGGTTTTTCGGTGGCGGCGGCCTCTGCTTGCTCGCTGGCACCGGCAAACGGGCTGCCACAATCGCCCCATCACCAGCCGCACTCGTCTTATCATTCTCGATATCAGCACCAACAACAGCACTATTATTATTGCTATTATTGCCATCGTCATCCTCGGCGTTTCGGGTAGACATTTCAGCAACGGCGTCATTGGCAAACACACCTGGAGCCAGTTCCACGCTGGCGTAATCGTACACACTGGGCGACGCTGACCAGCGATGGTACTCCTTCACGTCACTCTTTTCGGCCACGTACTGTGTCCACAGTTGCTCCGCCTCTTCCTTTTTCCGCAGCACCTCGTCCGGCAGCTTCAGCTCCACCCGCACAATCCCTTTGTGAGGCTCGAATACGTCGTAACGTCCAAAGATTTCCCGCAACCTGTCAGCCTCAACACGTCGGCTGAGTATCACCTTCACGACGACTGTCGGGTCGTGGGCACCCGGCGGTGGCGGCGGTCCCGGGGGAAAGCGGTACACACCGCGCTCCAGCCTTTCCTGGAAGATTGCAGTCGCCTGTGCAGTGGCCTCCGCGTCGCGCTCCTTCACGACACGTTTGATGTTTCGCATCGACTCCTGCACCATCTTGAGCCGCGACGGTGCCGGCATCGCACCGAGCTCCTCTTGGTGACGCAAATACTGCTCCCTCGTGGAGTGCAGCATGTTGCGCTCCTTCAACAGCAAAAACCAGATCTGTTGCAGGTCGGAAAGACTCTTCACGCGGAGGCTCTCAAGCGGCCACGCTCCACCCGGCACCGGTGGCCGCTTGTTGTTGAGAAAATTGTTATCGACAAACTCGTAAAAAGCCGCCGCATTTCTCACAAAAAGACAACGACGCATCCCCTGACAAAATAATCTCTTTTGTGTGTGTGTGTGTGTCGTGACGAGCCGGTGCGAGTCGTCACCCCACTCCTCCGCTTCGATATCCGCACCCCACTCAGAGATGAGAAAGAAAAACGTTATTGTTGAAAAGACACCAGAGGCAGACTCAGTCCCTCCAAGAGAATACATTCCAAAGGGGGAAAGGAAAAACAAGCAAACGCATGCACACAAACAGATGTATTTTTATACGTGTCCAATTTAGGTGTATATTATATGTATAAGAGAGAGAGGGAGAGAGGGAGAGAGAAAGGCTTTGGGTGCACATCTAAATATAAATAGTGAGAACACTCTTACGTGATGTGAAGCAAAATTGGACTGTCAAAATAAACACGGTGATTCTTTTCAGCCGGACTTTATGTAGTTAATTAAGCAAACATCTTTGCGCACATTTTGCGCTCCTTCTCCAACGCCTGTTGTCTGGTTTTCGCAATTTGTCTACGTAGATCGGGCACCGCTGAATCAATTGGCACGTTTCCATCCTTGCTGAGACGCTCCAGGGTATTCAGGTCTGTCTCTGCCGCTCTTAAATCCCCAAGGCAGTGGTTGCAGTGAGCGCGACGTAACAACGCCTTATCGTCATTCTCATGCCCAGAAATCGAGAGTACAGTTGTTGCACACTTCACTCCCTCCGCGTGGCGACCGAGAAGGTAGTTTACAAGGGCCAGATTTTTCTGCAAGGCAACATACAACTCCATGATTTCAGCGAATTGCTCCTCGCTGAGTGGGTGCCGCCTGGCCCCCGCTTGCCGTTTGACTAACATGTCCTGAAGGCTGCTTCCCGCGCTCTCATTCGTGTCAGGGATGTACTCAGTCAGGAGCAAACAACCCTTTTTGTAGCTAAACGATGCCTCGCGCAGCTTCTTAGAATCCTTTTGCCGCCTCCCAAATTCCAACGCAACATTGCCTCTGTCCTTGGCCTTTCGAGCCTCGTTCAGTCGCCAATGAAACGCCTCTTCTTGCTCTGAAGTGAGCACATCCCCCATAGAATGCATCTAACCTCCCCCTCTCTGCTTATCTTCCCCTTTCCTCGGATGTCACAAGGGATAACTCGAAACCCAATTTTCTTCCCCCCCCACAGACACACACACACACAAAAAAAAAAGATTGTGACAAAAAAAAAAGGACCAACGGAGAAAAACAAAAAACACATGTAAGTTAATGGTAAAAAAAAAATATCTTCAGGCGTATTTCTATGTGCATATTATATAAAAATAAGCATAGAACTTTAACAATAGAATTTTTGCTACTTTTTTTTTTTTTTTCCTGCAATTCAACAAGAAAAACAAAAGAAAAGTAGCGGCGTTAGACGTGATCCGTGCCCTTTCCCCTTTCCTCTTTCTCCTGCAGCCAACGTAGTGCACGTCGAATATCGTCCGGCAACGGGCACTCTACAACAGTCTTTTCCGAGTCCTCCTTCCTGGTATACGACGCATCATCGATTGCATCCGTCGCAGAATCTAAGGAAGACGGTAGGAGAGTTATCCGGGACGCATGTAGAGCAGGTCGATAGAGACCCATCTGCTCACCCATTGACCTTGCCCGCTCGTGATAACGGCCATCGCCAACCAGCGGATGACAAATCTGTGCAAAATGCTGACGGATCTGATGTCGGCGCCCGCTGCGAAGCTGCACCTCCAAATAATATACACCACTGGAGGGATAATAGTTCAGAACACGGTACATCGTTGTTGCTGGACGCCGGTCCATGAATGCCGGTGGTAGCCCTCTTTTTCTCTCAGGATCGTGGGCCGCAAGCTGCAGTGAGTAGTCAGCGCCATTGGCAAACACATTCCAATTAATAACGCCCTTGGGATTGAGGTACCAAAACTCCTCGCTACCCGCCCGCGACTCGGGCGGGGGACAATGCAGCACAAGGGCCCGGTATATCTTCTCAACGCGCCGGTCTACGACACTGGCACGCCGCGTCGCTACCAGTGAGTTTCCCGTATCCGTGACGAGTACCAGACCGCTTGTGCCAACATCTATGCGGTTGACAAGTCCGTGCTGAAAAAGAACGGGGATATCAACTCCTTTCCATGGCACACAGCGGGAAAGGTATTGGATCAAGTGCGGGTACGCCACGTGCAAAGTCGTGCTCATCCCTGCCGGTTTGTTAACCGCAATAGCACCAAACGGCAAGTGACGTGCAACAATCTCGGGCTTTGAGTCAGGCATCATACCTTTCACTTGCGACGAAACCGTCGTCGTCCTTTTCTCATCCTTCTGCAGTTGTTGCCCTTGATCTTCGAAGTATCGTGCCGCGTCGAGAAGGTGAACTGCCATGAGGCGTAATCGAATTTCCGGAACGCGGAAAGTCACCTTGGGAAAATAATTTTCATCATGACTTCCCCGTTGCCGGTGCTCAACACGAAAGAACGCCTCCTTCGTTGTCGTGGGGTACTTCGTTATGCGGCGAATAGAACGGCCCACCAGAAGCGCCTCGGCACCGTCCCACCCCACAGTCCAATCGAGAGAAGTTGAGCTGATGTAGCGTTCATGGTAAATTCCCTTAAAATACGGCGCAGCAGAAAATGCTCGATCGGCGGGCACCACAAAGTACACAACTCCAAGTGAACGCAGGGTGTCTGTACTTGCGGACACCTTGTTTTCCCCGCCTTCTGTGGAATGCAGGATGAGAACTGCCGTGAGCAACGCGGTTGCCGCTTCGGGGGAAAGAAGAGGGGGTCCGTAGACGTTTATCTCCTGCACGAGAATATCCAAAAGTCCAGCGAGAGTCTCCACCTTACTGCAGCTCTCAATCCATGTGGAAACGTGGTAGTTACGCAAACTAGCGGCCTTACACATAAAGAATTCCTTCATTGTGTCAAGATCGCCGCGTGCTCGCTCCCATTTGCTAACGGCAGACTGAAAAAAAGAAGAACATGTCACCTTTTTGGATTCTGCATCAAGTGCATCTTCAAGCGAACCCCACCAAAACTTACGGCACGCGGTTTCCATCGGAATCCGTCGCCCCTTCAGTATATCGTAGAAGTGGCGGAACGAGGGTGGGCAAAAGATCGAGCGCACTGCCACACGCAACACCTTCGGCGGAGCCAATAGATGCCCAATGG